CTTATTAGTAACTTTCTTTTATGAATGTCTCACAAACCTTTTTTCCCGAAGCACAACCAGCGAATATTACATTTCCAAAATGGCGTTACAAAATGTCTGCCTGGTGGAGCTAAACAAGCTCATATATCGCAAACTATTTTGTCAGCTGAAGCCAGAAAAGAAAGCAAACGAATTATTTTTTAATCACTTCACTTTAAAGCAAGGCGATAATGACACTAACATGCGAGTGATTACTGAGAATGAAAGAAAATGAGAAAACATCAGTGAAGAGAAACAACTGTACTCAGAAACATGAGGATTTTTTAAATATTTTTTTACCAGTAGCTCTGACGGCTCAATCAATAAATACAGAATGTTTCCTTATACGGAAACGACTAATTACCATAACAATCGAGTACAGGGCAAGGTTTTATTATCATGTTTTTACGCCAAAAAGTGGGTTGCACTATACACAGGTATATTTTTTTCAAGAAGCTAAAGATCGTTCAATTTAGGTGAACGGCTGCACTATACACAAGTAATTTTTTTTTATATGGAAGGATCAACATTCATGCATTTCGGTGACCATAACATATCTCCTAGGCCTAAATTCTCATCGTAATTTTGGCTAACCTTAACATAAGCATAAACGAAAAAAAGTACGTCATCTAAATCTTTGTATCAGATATTTTACGGTAAGTGATTTTTCCCACCATTTTGCTATAAAAAGTGTCCAGAGTGATGCCCAGTACCACAATATTTGACTTCGGTAGTCCTACTTGTATTGCTTAGAATTTGAAGTCGCATTATACATTAGTCATGTGAAATTAGGTTTTTAACTATACATGAAGTATGCTTGTATACGAGTATATATGGTATACTTTAATTGATCTGAACTTTGAAATGATATATATCTATATCCATCGGTTTATTGACTTTTTCGTCGATTTTGTTTCTCACATAATCTGTAAATTTGCTCGAAAGCATTATGATGATAAAACGCAAAAAGGTTTATAGATTAATTAAAGAAATGTTTGGAACGCTTTTCTCGACACGACGGCTTGAAAGTCTTTATAAAAAGACCTTATAAACGGATGAGGTTTGGACACTTCGACGTAGTGTAATGGTTAAGCTTGTCTCGCTAGATCCATTATGACTGAGTAGTGAGTTCGATTTTCGCTGGCTGCTTCTTTCTTCTGACCTTGTACCATATCTAAGCTGCACTTAGTAAATAACTACAAACATACATTTAATAACAATGTGCATGGTTCCTGAAGATCTACGTTGCATTTGCTGACGCTCATACATTGCCTTTTTGCAAACTGGTTTTAGTCCTTTCTACCATCTTCCCTTATTACCTTCTGAATTATCAGAATAGTAAACAAAACAAGTACAGTTTACACTAGCTATATTTAGTTTCGGTTTACATGACTGTCAAAAAAGGTAGATTCAGGTTATTTTACACTTGGACCCAAAACGATATACTCAGCTTCGATATATGCTAGGCTCAAAAAGCTACACTCAGGTCCGCTATACACTAGGCTAAAAAAAAAAAAAGAAACAGCTTTACACTAGTATGCATCATGCCCGGATTACTATAGACTGAAAAATGTAAACTCAGTCAAAAAAATGTAAACACGGGTAAAAAAAACTATACTTATATTCGGTTTATGCTAGACTCAAGAAGCTACACTCAGATCCACTTTACACTAAAGTAAAAAAAAATATATACTTCGATTTACATTAATATGAATAGGGGAGACACTCATTCGGATTATTGTAGGTTGAAAAAGGTAAAATCAGGTTGTTTACACTAGGTTCAAAAGCTATATTTAGGCCCGATTTATACTCGGCCCAGAAAGATACAATCTGGTCCACTTTACACTAGTATTAAAAGAAATATACTCCGGTCTGCACTAGTATGTATAAAATAGACATTCGTTCGGATTACTCTAGGTTGAAAAAGGTAAACTCGGGTTAAGTTTAAACTAGGGTCAAAAAATTATACTTAGGCTAGGGTCAAAAATGTATAAGACCGTTTTACACTAGGATACAGAAGGTAAATATTGGTAAGTTTATACACGTTTGCATGTAAACCACCACAAACGGCCACCGTTTTGTGGAGGACCTTAAACTTCGGCAGGGTATACAGTTCGTGCATTCTAAGCTCCGTCAACAGAAGATTATCTAACATTAATTAATATTTGAGTAATTCTTACTCTAATTCATTTCTTTTTTTTTACAAAAGTTTATTTCTCCAAATACATGTAAAATTTCCGGGAGAAGACTGCATACATTTACTGTCTCTTAGTAAATAATTTAGATTTTAAGTTTCGAAATATAAAGATTTAATTTAAATACTTTTTTTTCCAAATGATCACAAGCTGAAATTCAGAAATGCTCTAAAACAGTTTTTAACCTGTGGCATCCGTCTGTCAAGAGAGATCATGGTTTTGTGTGAAAGTAATTTTGTTTTCATATTCAGCCGGTGTTATTAACACAAAATATGTTCAATAATTTATTACAAACTTACAACCGATAGATACAGCTTTCATTGTTTTTACACCTGAAGGTAGCCGATGCTAGATTATTCCCTCCAGAGCGCTGACCTGCACAGGACTTGTATGATGAGAGATTGACAGTTGCCCATGCAGCAGATCTTCGCTCCTCACGACACCGATATTGTCCAAGGGAAGTACAGTACCAGCGTCGCCTGAGGTGTTACCAAAACGAGGCTGGATGCAATGTCGTACTTCGTTTGGAACTCTGGTTCCAAATTTTATTCACACAACTTACTTCCGAAGCCGTTGCTATGGTTGGGTTTTGCCACCATGTAGCATATTTTTGAAAGTACATCAAGGAAAAATGTTTATTCGTGTTGCCGTTTGAATAAACAAAGCTAATGCTGTGTTTCTTGGCGTGTAAGTTTAAGAGTTGCAAACTCTTCTTATTATGGATCGACTGGTGCATCTAAAACCAAACGGAATGTAAAAGTATATAGTAATATTCGGAGGAAAACATATGTTAGCTTACTCTATGCTCCTGTGTGTGTGTTTAAACATTTGACAGGCTAGAGAAAATGGAGAGCGAAACAGTGTATAGAAATAACGAAATGACAAGTCATTAAGAGCTACAAGGGATGGGAAATTGTGAAGAGACGTGATCGCCTATGTCCTGAATTGATAAGGCAGCTAAAGAGAAAGATTGTAGGTTCAATCGAAATAACTCTTTTGCCTTTCTATATGGTGTATTAGTAGGAAATGTTATTTCTTGCTGAAGTTGACCTGATTTGTACACTGTAGTCGGGTGTTGAATACTATTGAGGGAGATGATTTTCAACCTAGTATTTGGTATACAGTATTTACTGACGTATCATGTAACTTTTGAAAACCTAATTATGAAGATAATTCTATGGGAGTCGCATCATACACAAGGTATAAAATTAGCCTATGCACTGCTGGCCCTGGATATGCCGTTAACCAAACTATATATCCATTTTCTGTAGTCAAATTAGCTTCAAAATTAGGCTTCCATAGGTCGCATGATACACGTGTATAAACGGTATATAGAATTTTGGACTCTAGAGCATTTACATTGGTCAATGAATTAGATGATACATAATGCGACATGTTTTCTACTACGTCCGAACTTAACAGGAACAGCTGAAGAAATAGTGTTGTGCCTCCAAGGTACTATGAATAATAGAAAGTATCAAATTTAATTTGCGAATATACGTACTGCAATCTTTTCATTGAAGGTTTCTGCGCAGTCGCGTTGAATAAGTGAAGTTGATTGTGATCAAATGAGAATGTCACGTGAGAGTTATTAGTCTTATACAACGCAGGAGATAGACATCATTCTCAAAATATTCAAAGGATTTGTACGAAAGGGAATAATATTAAACTACTTGTGCATTTAGTGCTGCAGATGTTGACGCAGAAAGTGAAATCACTAACCGAGGCTTCCTCCAGCTATGGATCTAAATAGGAGTGTAGATTAGGTTCCGTTGCCTTGGCTACATGACAGTTTAGGAAAAATAATATTTTGAATTAAAAACCAGTGTTGTTCTCCGTTAAACTACAGCGACTGGGATGTCCCTACCACCTTCTGGATTAAAAGTAATCTCTAACGTGTTTGTAATTATATTAGATACTTTCGTGTGAATGTCATGTGAGTCAAGCGAAAAACACAGGAGACTGTATTTATATGTTTCGTTTTTTTTGAAAGAACCTATTACGGTTAGTGAAAAGTAAATACTTTAGAAGAACTGATGTAACTGTTTGGCAAGCGAAATGAACCGCCATTAAACAGACCTTCCCGCCTGTAATCTGGCCTTATGCTTAACATTTTTTTGGTCTTCATTTATAAAAAGAGGCAATATGGTAGGATTGTAAAGGAGCTTGTCTTATTCTCTGAGTTTCTTCTCGAAAATTAAAAGATTGATTTGAACCAGCATTGTTCACTGCGTGTGTGTGTATGTATGTACGTACGAATATCGTCTGAAGTTGACTTTTTTAATAGATTAAAACAAGAAATTTAATTTAAAAATTATTTATTATTTCAAAAAGTTCATTTCATGAATAGGGCTATTAAATGGGGTAAGTGTTCGAACGGATATATGATACTGAAAGAAGAAACTGAATAAATAGCCCAACGTATAGAAAGTTGTCGGTCAATGTTCTAAAATATATATTTAAAAAAAAAAAAACACCAACCAATGTCTCCTTTTCTGCGCATGTGCATTCTTTCACACACGCAGGCAGTGAAGCACGTTCACGCTCACGTGAGATCATTTCAAAAGCGTTTACAAAGTAGGCGTCCTATGAACCAGTTAGAGGAAACGGCGCCGAACACTGAGGAGATTGCAGATAGATAGGACTTACTTACTAGTCTATACTGGAAAACAAGGCACAAAAGCACTTGTTAACGGCAATACATTGGGGACCAGAATGAATCGCTTGGGCCGTCAAAAGAAGCTTTTTTTTTTGTTTAGCAAGATTCTGTGCTATG